CCGGACCGTTAATGGGAAAGGTGCCTCTACCCGGCTGGTTGATGTCCTCGGGAAGACAAAGGCTGACATCACCGCCATCCAAGAAATACGAAGGACGGGGCAAGGAAAAGTAAGTGTGAAGCCTTGCCAAGTACTGGCGTTCACCCCGGTGGACGAACGTCTAGCCACAATCCGCATCAAAGCGAGATTCTACAGCATACATATGAGCGCTGGCCGCGACACGATGTTAAGATCGTGCTCGGCGATTTTAATGCCCAGGTGGGCAAGGAAGGAATCTTTGGCGTCACTGTCGGCGCCACGCCTCCACGAAACGTTCGATAACAGACTGAGGCTGATCGACTTCGCCGGGGCCCGAAACATGGTAATATGTAGTACTAGGTTCCAGCATAAGAGCAATCACCAAGCTACAGGGTTGTCTCCAGATCAAAAAACGAGAAACCAAATTGAACACGTTGTGATGGACGGAAGGCATGCTTCCAGCGTTTTAGACGTGCGAACACTCCGAGGGCCAAACATCGACTCGGACCACTGTCTTGTTGTAGCCAAGATACGCACCCGCCTCTGTGCAGCAAAAAATGTGCGCCCAACAATGCAAGGAAAGTTTAACGTCGAAAAGCTGCAATCACAACAGGCGGCCAATTTATTCGCCACTCGACTCACACAGCTGCTCTCTGAGAGCACTCGCCAACAATCCGACATAAGCGAGCAGTAGAACCACATTTCCCGATCATTGAGTACCGCCGCCGAAGAAGTAGTTGGATTTCAGCGAGCCCGAAAGAACAACTGGTACGATGAGGAATGTCAAGAAGCCGCAGAGAAAAAAGATGCCGCCTACAGGGCCACGCTGCGATCGGGCGCAACGCGAGCCATGTGGGACCGTTATAGGGANCCCTTATAGGGAACTGAAGAAGGAAGCGAGACGTATTTGCCGCAATAAGAAGAGAGAGGCCGAAATACGTGAGTGCGAAGAGCTTAAAATGCTACCCGACAGGAACAACGCCCGAAAATTTTACCAGAGTGGTCCAGAATGTACTTAAATTATAGGAATTTGGGGGGATAGATTCCCCCTTCGTCAGTGAAATGAAACTTTTTATTTTTGAATTAATAACACAATACTATTTTACCCTTCCGATGTATAATTTTTTTATTTCAGACTGATGACAAATTATCTTTTAATGAATATATAAAATTATCGGTTGGTGGATTATGTATTTGAATATTTGCGAAATACACTAGGCAATTTTGCTTAGCTCCCCACAGTGTTGGGAAATAAAATCGTTCCTTCAGTACGAAATCTATACAAAAACTGTCCTTTTCGACTGTAAATTGTATCGACTTCTTAATTTGCTCATATGCATGCATGCATACATAGATTCCCTTCAAGACCAATGATTTGATGGTATTCACGGGAAAGTTTATGTAGGTACATTTACATATTTTACACTTTTAACATAAATGTCAAGGCAGATATTTTAAAATACACTTCTTAACAAACACATTTTTTTTAAGTTATTATGAATGGATAAAAGAGACATCTTCTTTGAATTCAGTACTAAAACTTGACATTTCAAGTGCTTATGAAAACTTTATACATGTTAACTAGATTGGCCATTTATCTTAAAATTATATAATTTTAATTATTTGTTTATAAAAATCCAGTTTACACTTTAACAAAACACGTACAAATCCAAGGTTTAATCTTTGCGCAACATTAACAAAATCCACAAACTTTCGTAAAGCTTTTTAATTAGATTTCTTAGCAATACATATTTTGAGTATGCAGTTTTGTGCCCGATCAATTCAAATAAAGCGCAAGTTTAAAATACATAGCTGCGACTTATCGTTGATTTTTAATATATATATTTTTTTTTTTTTGATGAAGGCGTTGCTCATTTTCTTCATTACAAGAATCGTCGAACATACTTAGATAATATAGAAGAAAATTACCGACATCGGCAAGAATATGCCATACATCAACTGTAAATCACAGCTACTTTAAATTTGCACTTTATTAGACTAAAATTGAATGAGCTAAACAAACTGCAAAATATTAAGAGATAAAATTGAAATAGAAAGTTCTAAATTTTTACGAAAGTTTGTCGATTTTTTTTTTTAATGTTGTTCAAAGATTAAACTTATTTTCATTTAGTGTTTGTTAAGGAATAAACTATATTTTTATAAACAAATAATTCAAATTAAAATATAATATAATAAATAGTCAAATCTAGTCAATATGTGAGTTTCGTAAAATTATGATATTTAAGAACATTTCTTTCTTAATTAACGATGACACTGTTTCTATATGAAGCTGATTTCAACATTTTGTTTTAATAAAATTTAGTATCGAAAATATTCTTTCAAAACTTGCCTAGGAATGTGATATAACGGTTCGTTCAAAACCTTTTTTCAAAACATATAAAGGCAAAAACGAGAAGACGAAGATAAAAAGAGAATAAAAAAATTTCCCGCAGTGAATTTTAAGATTTTTAAAACGGTATAGTAATTTAATTTTTTAAATTTGAATAAAGCATGAATACCCCATAGAATAAACGAGTAGATAAAAAATAGATAACGGTAAAACTGGCACATACATAAATAAATGAAAGAACGCATTCAGGCGACGCCTCTAGCCATTGTGTGTCACAAATTTAAGTTATCGCTGGAAATGTTGGGGAAGATAATAAGAGCCGCAGAACTGAACCGCTCATGCACAATACTTTACAAGAGCGTACAATTGCTAGCGTATGCCGACGATATCGATATCATCGGTAAAAACAAGGGCTACGTCTGTTCTGCCTTCTCGGGATTGGATACAGAAGCAAAGCGAATGGGTTTGGTGGTGAACGAGGACAAAACGAAGTATCTCCTGTCATCACACGAACAGTCAGAGCATACGCGTCTAGGCACCCACGTCACTGTTGACAGTTACAAGTTTGCAAAAGTAGACGACTTCATTTATTTGGGAACCAGTATTAACACCAATAATAATGTCAGCCTTAAAATCCAACGGAGAATCACTCTTGCCAACAAATGCTACTTTGGACTGAGTAGCCAATTGAGAAGTAAAGTCCTCTCTCGTCGTACAAAGATCACACTCTATAAGTCACTCATCATGCCTGTGCTGGTGTATGGCGCGGAAGCNACTATGAGCTGTATGAACTTTACAACGATATAGACATAGTGCAGCGAATTAAAATTCAGCGGCTCCGCTAGCTTGGCAATGTCGTTCGAATGGACAGAAACGCTCCTGCTTTGAAAATATTCAACGCGGTCCGCGATGCTGGTAACAGAGGAAGGCCTCCTCTGCGTTGGAAAGACCATGTGGAGAAGGACTTGGCATCACTTGGCATCTCCAATTGGCGTCAGTTAGCACAGAACAGAAATGACTAGCGTGCTGTTTTGGACTCGGCCAAAATCGCTTAAGCTTAGGAGAAAAAAGAAAAGCTTCAAATTCAAATAAACAAATTAACTTTGACCCTTGGCCCAAAAAAAGGAATCAAATCGTTTTCTATTTTACATGTTGCTCGGACCGGGGTCGAACCCAGGTCTTCGGAGGGATAGCACGCACCTCCATCCACTCAGCCATCAGTAATTTTTTAATTTAGTTTTTTTCGACCAAAAATAATGATATTTGTATGATTATTTTTTTCGATTTGATTTTTATTACATTTTCGATGATTCATAAATCTTTAAAGGCCATACAAACGCTGATAATAATACTTTGAAAAACACGCCAGTTTGGCTTTCTAGTTTTTTGAATAATCATTATTCTTAAGTGATAGAAATAAAACGCAATAATTATTTTTCAGCGGAAAAATTCATTTTTACCTAAAGCTGCAAAATATTTCTGCATTCACACTATTGGGATACGATTCGCACCAAATGCCCATTGCCATTGTTATTTTGTAGCCTTATAACATATATATTCAACAACTTTTATTGAGCCTGCGGCTATAAAATAACAAAAACAAATGACTTAAGGACGAGCACACCTAAAAATTAAACATTCTAAAAATATATATATTAAGAAAAACTAACAAAACCAACAACCACATGATCAAGTTTAAATAGCACTGGAATAGCTGCGCTTGATTGTAGTTGACTTCACAAATGAAAAAGTGAAAAAAACAACAAGAATTTACAAGGTGAACTTAGCATGGATCGAATCCCACTGAAAGAAGTCTGATGAGGAAATATGGTGATTTCCGAAATAGCTATCACTTCTACCATTTTTTCAAATTATTGTTGCTTTTCCACAATAAATTTTCATTTAAAAAACGGCCTCGAGCTCAATATAAATTGTTGAATATAATTGTTATAAGGCCAAAAAAAAATAACAAAAACAAATAACTTAAGGACGAGCACACCTTAAGGTTAAAACATTCTAAAAATATAATTCTTAAGAAAAACTAACAAAACCAACAACCACATGATCAAGCTTAAATAGCACTGAAATAGCTGCGCTTGATTGTAGATGGATTCACAAATGAAAAAGTCGAAAAAAGCAAAAAGAATTTACAAGGCGAACTTAGCACGGTGCGTAGACAACTGGCTGAGTCAGCTGGGATCGTTGAATCGAATCCCACTGAAAGAACTCTGATGAGGAAATGTGGTGATTTCCGAAATAGCTATCACTTCTACCATTTTTTCAAAATAATTGTTGCTTTTCCAGAATAGTTTTTTTTAGTAAAAACGGCCTCAAGCTCAATAAATCCAGTAAAGAAATTGTTTTCCCTAATTCAGTTTTTTAATCTAATTGTATCAAAGGATGTCTAGTATGGCAAACAACATAAAAAAAATTAAACACAGTAAATTAACTTTTGCTCGGCTAACTGAGCACCAAATACTTATTATGGCCTTATTCATAAAATAATAGGTTTAAAGAGCTTTATAAAGTGACGTTTTCATAAAAATTTTCGATTTATAAAGCAATTTAATTCTTTATTTTTTATGAATTTGAGTGCTATTCTTTTATTTCAACTATACTATTAATCACTCACCTGGCGAAACCGTTTTTTCCAATACTCTAATCAAATGCAGAGCCACTTGCGCATTCATTTTTTAAATCTTATTGTAGTATATATTTCCAATGAACCTAAAAGAGGAGAGATCAAACATTACAATAGCGAATAATATGCAAAATTTAGGGATGCCAAGATACCCATGTAATAATTGTTTATTGTAAAAGCGAAAGAAATTTATAAGGACCAAATTACTGATTACGAAGGTATATTCAAGAAAGAAAGAAAACACTGCTGTTAGTTGCGGCTGCTGATAGCGAAAATACTGCTGTGACACTGCCGAATGACGATCGCGAACTGACTGCAAACCTCTGACACAGGACTGTGGTGGCCTAAGCAACCGGCCGCTGCTGTGACCGCTATCCTTTCTTACAATCGGCCATTCTGATCATTGTCATCTGCCTCAGATGGCAACAGCTCATGACCTTGTTGATGTTGCTGTTGGCCCCGCTACATCAGCCGCTTTACGCACATCGTAACGACCGTAGCGTGTCACCCTGTATGGGCCGAGGTACTCGCTGCTCAGATTTTTGCCTGCGACGAACTGCGAGCGCTTGATTGCAACGAGATCTCCAACTGCGTAAATTTGGTCCGCTTTGCGCTTTTTGTCGAAGTTTGTTTAATGTCTGCTGTGCTTTAACAATTCGGTTGCAAGCATCGTCCCGCACAGTCGAAGCCATTAGTCGCTTCTTCTTCTAAAAGTTCTCGAATAGTATCGTCGATTGTGTTTCGCATCTCAACATGATGCGAAACGGTGAGTACTTCGCAAAGTGGTTGGGATAGCAGATCTAGCTGGACAAAAGTCAAAATTTGTTTGTTTTTAAAATACTTAATGGTACTTGGAATACATTCCTGACAATACATTCAAATAGAAATTGCATTTTTTAAAGCATTAAACATATGGAAACGAAAAAAAGGTAAGACAACGCCGTCTATTTGAGAACTTTATTTTAGAAACTGAAGTTTTACTTAAAAGATTGCACTCACAAATATTTGCATAATTGCAAATCGACTTTATAAACCATAAATTACACTTATTCCGCTATAGATTCAGAGGTCATAACGCAATTTATGTCCACATTGGTATAAGCAAATTTATACTGAAAAATCGTCGTTTTGATTAATAAAAAAAAAAATTAAAGAGTAGGAAAAGTAAATGCCGCCGAAGGCCGTTATAACGTCCACTTGCATATTATTCATTACAACTTCGCAAATGCAGAGGGTAAGTTCGATAACCAAGTCTAGCCAATTGGCTTAGATATTTACATTTTAGTGACGGTATGTCGAGAAAGAACACTACTTGAGAGTTGTCAAAACTTTGGTTATGTAAGAGTTAAAAAAACAGTAACTCGCGAATTTTCTGCTTTCTGATATTAAAAAATTATACAACAGGCATGCAAATCTTTAAGCGCTGTTATAAAAATTGTTTCTGAAATTTATTTGTGTTTCTTGCTACGTTCTTAAGTTTTAGTCTTTAACGAAACCCATATCAACCCAAGTTTCAAACTTTCGCAAAAATTTCGATGTTTTTAATTAGGTTTCTTAGAAAGATATGCATACTCAATATCTTTCTAAGAAATCTATCGAAATTTTTTAGAAAGTTTGTTAAGTTTTTTTTTCAAATATTGCACAAATTTCGAAACCTGGATTTACACAATTTCTTTGATAACGAACAAACTACATTTTTATGAAAAAGGTAATTAAGATTAAATAATAGTAAAATAAATAGTCAAAACTTGTCAATATGTGGGTGTCGCATAGTTATGATACGGACTATTTTTATTAGAGAATTAGCAGTTCTATTAAATTATTTTAAAATGAATGAAAATTAAAAATGTGTAATCGTTTTAGTTATAGTCTGTGAACAAAACATTTTCATATGTGAAGAGTTAGAACTTTTTTAAATATTTCGTTTGCCATGTTGGATCCGCCATTTTGAATTTTTGATGAGTGACTTTAGATTCGGAATCAGCGACCCAGAAAACCCTCAGATACCCAGTTTCATAGAAATCTATTGATTCTCTAAATTTTTCGCCTGCCATATTGAATCCGCCATTTTGAATTTTCGGTAAATGACTTTAGATTCGTAATCAGCGACCCAGAAAACCCTCAGATACCCAGTTTCATAGAAATTTCTGATTTATTTTAATTTTCGTCCGCCATATTGCATCCGCCAATTTGAATTTTTGATAAGTGACTTCAGATTCGTCATCAGCGACCCAAAAATCTCCTAGATAAGAAGTTGTGTAAAAATCCATCAAAGAGTATTTGTTTAAATAGTTTCGTCCAGCTAGATTTGCTATCCGAACCACTGTGCTTCGTTGAGCTGTGAGTACAAGAATTTATGGCTTTTTGCACGCTAGGGACATACTTGTACCAGCTGTAAGTATTTGTTGTAGATACCCTGCAGCAAATCAAACTGGTTCAGAACTTGCGCTGAGCTAGCCTGAAAAGGGACGGTACTGGTTCTTCATCTATCCCAAATCAATGCCTTCAACTGTCTTTTGGCGATGTCCTACGAAGTGCAAATTGTCGCCCCCTGCAGAACTTTTGAACTTATTCTGAGCTGACTCTGGCTTAGATAGTTCTGACACAGTTCATATAACAACAGTTTCTAGATAGTTCAAAACGGGTCATCTCCGGGCTAGAACAAATGTGGTTAGTTTTGAGCTGGTTCTAAGAAGTTAGTATAGAGCCTTTTCTTTAAATAAGCACGCATACAATTTTGTAAATAAAAAATACTTCATTTTATGTTTAAATAACTATTTGTTTTGCACTAATTTACTTTTTGAGGCGAATTGTGCTTTAAAATTAGGAATATAAAGTGTCAGTTATTCCTTCATTTTCTAAAACCGTTATTCTTAAAAATAATTTATATTTGTTACGTATAACGGGCATTTCCGTGTTACTTATAATTAAAAATCTAAACTAAGTCGTGTGAAAAATGAGAAAACGGTGATATATTGAATGCTTACTTGTCACGTTAAATTGTATTAAATGTATTGAAATGTAATACATAGACTCTGCGGCGTCTAATAAGAATACTTAGAATTTTGAATATTCACAATGGTTTCCATGCGAAATAGTTTTTGTAAATTTTTTTTATTTAAGGATGTTTAAAACATAAACATATAAATTCACGTTTCTAACTGTGTTGGAAATTTAGTAGAATTCTAGAAACTGTTATAAAAACTTCAATATTTTAAATCGGAGTTATAAGTATGCAGTTCTATAGCCCATTAAATTTCAGTATAATTTATCTTTTTACGCACGCTCTTGAAGGTATTCTCCTATTTAAATATTTTCGTTTAAGATGTAAGATTACACGTTACTACACTAATTTGATGGGCTACAAAACAGAATACTCGAAATATTTATAAAAAAAATCTCCGATTAAAAAGTTTCAAATTTGAAGACAGTTTTTAGAGTTCTATCAAGTTTGCAGCATAGTTAGGAATTTGAGTTTAAATGATTTATGGAATATGAAACATAGTACTTAAATAAAAACTTAACGAAAAAATTTAAAATGAAAAACATTGGAAATTAAAAAAAATCACTGCATAACTACACATTTCGGGTGCTCAGTGATATATTTACGTATGTACAGTATCGGTCATATCAATAGCACCCCCATTTCAAAATGAGAATGTTTTTCACTTTAGGTTATTTTTTGTAAATCTGATTAAAAGATCAAAAATTTTGATGAAAAATCATTAAATTTAACTTTGTTTTGTATAGTTTTAAAACACGGTTTATATTATTTAGTTTCAAGCATAATCATTTTCTTTATAAAATAATAACAAACAAATTTTAACTCTCAATATATTGTGTTAAGAGTAGCTTAACTAAATTTTATGGTTATATTTTGCATTCAATTTTATACTTATTGTAAGAGTATATAGTATACCTGCCCTAAGCATTAAGTTATTGTGCAAAATACGTGCAAAATATTATAACATGTGCACGTAGCGGTACTTTGGGCGTCCGTTTTCCCAGATGTAACGGAAGCATCGATGCAGCGAGTAGCGGTTCGAGTAACGACGCGGCGTCCGGCTGCAATAATGGTAGTTTCAAATCGACGCAATTAAAAGTAGAGTTATTGCGTAAAGAGATTCAACTCCTAAACTTACAAAATGCCCTGTTCGGAAAAGAGGTTTCAATGGCAGTAAGTGTGGAAAAGGCGAGCAATGAAGCCCCGTTCGAAACTTTAAAGTGATTATACCAACGCCCAATAGCGACGATGGTGCGAGCAAAGGAAAAGATGCGAGCAACGACCGTGAGACGGGAAACTACAATGCTGATAACGACAACTTTGCTTATGGTGGTAACGGCGATGGTGTGCAGCCGTATGAGTTACCCCAAGAAAACTACGATGCTCTTTGCGTGCAAAGTAGATTTCGTCCCCTGGTAACAAAACATGAAATAGTTTGCGTTCGAGGAATGCATACAGCTGGAGCGACAATTTTTTCAAGTGAGAGCGATAAAGTTAAACTTTTGGAGAAACTGATCCTGCTCATAAAATTAGAGTTGGAACTCGAAAAGGAAAAGGCTGGAGTAACGGTTACAATATACATTTCGAAGCCAGAAGTCCCGTTCCAGACGATGAAAAAGTTGGTGGCTAACAGCAGTAGGGCAAGAATTTATGGCAGCGCAGACAACAGCTATGGCGCAAACAACGACATCGACGAAGACAAAAGCAGAGGCTTAAACAACGACAGCGACACAAACAGCAGCGACGCAAACAACGGCAGCAGCACAATCAAAAGTGGCGAACACAACAGCAACGGTGCCAACAACAGTGCGAACCCCAATGGTGATGAGCCCCGAGCAGGCAACAACATATGCGTGCAAACACAAATATTTGATGGAAGCGGGTGTAGTAAAGACGCAGAATGCTACCCAACTTCCATATGTTTGTCCTATGAAGAAGCAAATATGAAGATGCATCTTTTGGAAAAAGAGATGGAGTTCCTGAGATTAAGGCTACAACTAAAAATTCAAAACGCAGTCGTAGCAGTAGTGGCAGACCATACAAAGCCCGAAGTGCCCTGTGAAACGATAAAAGAGCTGATGG